GCGCATCGGCGGGATGCCAACGTCTTCATACGCCGGCCCGACAAGCCCCTCAAGCCGGGCGAGGTGCTAAGCATCCTCCTCTACCTGATGTCCAACTCCACGGTGGAGCACTTCACACTCAGGTAAGGTCCTGGGGCTGCCCCCACTCTGGGAGCAGCCGCCTTTCGAGGGGGTGGTTGTTTCAGCTGGACTGTGCGAAGGCAGCTTCGGGCAGGAGGGAGAGGATGGGGAGGGCGTATTGCATTTAGGGGACCTGCTGGGGGCTGGACTGTGTCTGAGGGCTTTCGGAAGGTGAGGGAGGCCAGAGGAGCTGCCGACATGTGGTTTTGCAATGTTTTTGGGGCTTTGCAGTGGGAGCTTCTTGGAGGGAAGGGAAGGGCTGTCCATCCAGGGTTTCCATCTCTGCATTGCTGCTATGGACTGCTGCCTTCGCCCTCCCAGTTGCACTGGGATTAGGGCCCCACCAGCAGACGTGGGTTTGTTCACAGCCACTTTGGGGACAAGGTGCAGTATGGCCATGGTGCTGCTGCAGAGAGAGCAGGGGCTCCCCATGTCCCCGCCATCCTGTCCCTGCACCCACCTCCTAGTGCTGAGCACCCCAATATGCGGAGGTCTGTGGGGGGACTCCCCTTGCTGCATGTCCCTAAGGATGGGGGGATGACCCCCAGCCACATCTCTTCAAAGGACATTTGCAAGTGTCCCTGTGGCCACCAGGACAGCAGCGAGCCCCTGGCATGGGGGACACGGCATGCCAGGCTCTCCTGTCTTTCGCTCTGGGGATCCCCAGCCCCACAGGGGCGTTACTGTCCTGGGCAGCAGCACTGGGGCTGGGGGACCAAACTCCTTCTGGAGAAGTGATGTGGGATACAAAATCCTATGAAAAAGAGGGGCTGGGGTGGTTTCAGCCCCATGGCTGTTGCTGCCAGCCTGGATGATGTTTCCAACAGCCAGGAGGGATCGGGGGCAAAAAATCCCCCTGCGCCTACGGCAGGGTGCCGGGGGGGTCCAGGGGTGTGCAGGGGTGAGGGTCCGGCCCTGACCGTCGCTCTCTGCAGGGTGAAGGCCAAGAAAGGCGTCAACCTGCTCAGCACCAAGTCGAGGAGTGGGCAGTGGCTGGTTAACGCAGTGCTGCCGCCGGGTGGCAAACCCTCCACCGCTACCGTCGACGTGGCCAGGGCGGATGGTGCCAGGCCCAGGTAGGGGACCCCCCCTCTCCCCCCACCCCAGCACCGGGAGGGTTGGGGAAATTGCTGGGGTTTGGCCCGGAGCAGTTCTCCCTTTACCCTCACCCTGGGTGTCTGGTTGGCTGCAGTGCCACATGGGTGCTGGCAGGGGAAACTGAGGCATGGCAGTGCGTGGCCCGGACTGTGAGACTTGGAGGCACTGAAGGGGGATGAGCAATTTTGGGGTCAAACCCTCAGCCCAGCTGAGGTAGGTCCCGCACCGACATGGGAAGGAGCTTAATTTTGTGTGTGGTTTTTAACCTCGGCCGGCACCGTGCAGCTAGCTAAAGGGCAGGTGAAGGTGGGTTTCGTGGCCCGAGGTGGGCAGGTTTGTGGTCAGGCAGGCAGCTGCCCAAGGGCTGTGTGAGGTGGTACATTCAGGTGGGATCTGCTCCGGGTCAACACAGGCGACCAAGCTGGGGCTCAAGCAATGCGCTTGTAAGTCATCGGTACCATTTAGCAGCTGCATCCCCGGCTCTGAGCTGGGACCGCCTGGCTGTGTCAGACATTGGTAGGCACATGTGGTGGATTTTGGGGCTGAATTGTGAAGCCATGGAGGATCCCCCAGTTTGGGGTGGAAGTATCTTAATTTTTTAAGAAGTTTTAATACCATGAGAGGCAGCAGCTCTTTGCTGACTATCCTGGTGTCTCCTCCAGGAAGGAAGGGAAGCAGTCCCCAGGCAAGGTCCCGTCTGGACCCCAAGGTGATGGATGAGTGTTGGATGGGGAGCATGAACCAAGGCAGCACTTGAGACGGGCAGAATCAGTTCTGCCCTGCTCGACACAAGGACGGTGCCCATTCCTGGGGCTTCAGGAAAGGCTCAGGTTGGTTGAGGAGAGTCCAGGGGGTAGAAATGAGATTGATCTGAAGGAGTGAGGACACACAAAGCCAAGTTGAAAACCCAGAGACTGCTCAGCCTGGAGATGGGGAGATGTGGGACTGGCCTGCGAGTGCACAGAGGCTGCAAGGGCGAGGGGCAGCTTTGCCCCTTGCATCCACGTGGGCAGGACACAGTGAGCAAGGGCAGGGGATGGGCATGGGCTCAAAATCACTAGCAGGAAAGACTTTCAAGTGCTAGAATGCAATTATTCCCTGGCTATGGCATCTCAGTCACTGTGTCTTTGGGGACAGAGAGACAAATGTCTCCAGGAGCTGGGTTAAAGCGAGTTGATGCGCTTGAGCTATTCCTGCCCTCTGTGTTGGAAATATCCCTGTATATCTGCCCCCCACCCCAAAACTGAGTGAAACTGGGGATGAGCTCTTGCAGAAAGGAGATCCTCGGCTCTGACTGCTTCGAATGTGAGCTCAAAAGCTATCTGCAGAAAACCCCTCCAAAGGGCTTACCTGGAGGGTGGATTTTCCTTTACCCCACACCATTGCTTCCAGATACAAAATGCAACTGCAGCATCCGAGCCTGCAGCCCCATGGCTGACATCGGAGTGTCCCTGGTGCCACAATCCCCCCCAACCTCTGCACGGCCACCCCAGAGCCCCTGCACGCAGCTGCCAGACCTGCCGGCAGCGAGATCCTCTCCTCTCCCCCTTCCCCCTCTCCCTGTCTGCCACCGCCGCTTCAAATCAGCCTGGAAATGTTAGAGACGGAGGATGAATTTAAAGTGATTACAATCACCTTTTAGACAAACAACTCCATCAAATATTAACAGAATGGAAAATATGAATGACTCAAAGCCGTGTTGCCCTCCAGGCTGTACAGCTGGAGGAGTTTGCTTCACCAGGGCTCTGGGGGCTTCTGGCAGCGCTGGCTGCGCGGGGAGGGGGCAAGGGCCCTAAGCTTTGGGGTGATGATGGCCAATTTTGGATGTTTTGCACCCCAGCAGCTGCATCCTAAGTTATTCCCCCAGTCTGGGCAGCCCAGCTCTTGTCTGCAGTGTCTGAGAGCAGACAATGCTCGGGGAGGGCAGAAGATGGTGGCTGGCCCCTGGCAGGGCTCCTGGGACACCTGGGGGGCACCCTGTGGTGAGGAGTCCTAGTGCCAAACCGCCTCTGCCATGAAGCCGCAGCTCTGGTTTGCCTTTGAACTTGGCTCTTCCCGGCTGTATTTAATACTCCTGCGTTGGAAGAGGCAGTGAGCAGCCAAATCCTCTTCTTCGGACTGGGTGGCCTTTGGCGATAACCCTTGCACCCCTGTAGCTGCCTTGGGGGCACAAAGTCCCAGGAGGATCCCACCAGCCCTTGCGCGGCAGCTCCACTGCAAAGCCCGTCATCCCTGCTGTGGGAGCAGGGAGCAGGGCTTGCTGTGGCCTGGAGCAGCCCCAGCTTCTTGCTGTCCCCTTTCTCTGCTCCCTTTCACTCATATTTATTAGATATTTATCAGAGAGAAACCCGACTGTATCCTGCATCCCCAAATTGATGGGACATTCTCGATGGCTGCTACATGGCGTGATGAGAGCAGGGCCGGTCCCAGCTTCCCCTTCCGCAGGGATTTCACCTTTCCTTCCCCCCACCTTCTCCTGCTCTGGGGGGGGCTTTTGCCAGCTCTGCCGTTCACAGGGGCTCTGGGGTGTCCCCTGGGGATGCTCTGTTTTGGGGGAGCACTGGAGAAGTTTGACTTGGTTGGGGGGGGTTGAACCCTGAGTCCCCCCAAGGGATTTGCAGGTTGGACACAGGGGTGGGAGGGCAGGATCGCATCTGGGGAGGTTTGCTGATAGGGATGGGGTGTAAGAGCGATTTACGCTGCTGCCGTCTCACCATGTCCAAGCCGTGATGCAGAGGACAAGGGACACCAGCTGCTGAGTCCCCTTGTCCCCTTAGACTGGCACTATGCGCGGGGTTTGGCAGTGCTCAGCCTCTCCATCCCGTCCCACCTTGGGGACTGCCTCAGGGTTTGCTCCCTGTCTGTTAACTCTGGGTCCCGCTGTCCTCAGCAGCAGTGTTAAATGAGTGGGGTTTTGATGAGCTGAGGGTCTTGGTGTCATTATCCCCTGACGGTCCTGTCTACCTCCCCATCCCCTGCTCGTCCACCCCGTGCATCCCCATGGCTGCCCATGCAGGCTGAAGGACAGCCCTCCTCCAAGTCCCAGCCCAGTGTTGTCCCATCTGCTGTCTGTGGTTGAACCGCTTTCTCCCATGCCTCAGTTTCCCCATGTGATCCCCTTGGAAGGGGCTGTAAAATCAACAGCTTGAGCTGGGCTCTTATTGGACTTATTTGCTGTCCCCAGGTGTGCTGTCCTCCTGGGTGTGGGACACTTGGGGTTTGACCTGTGGGAGATGAGTGTGCAGGCGGGAGCAGCCTGGGGCAGTAAATCCAGCTGCACTGCCGGGAAGACAGAGCCGGGGAGACGAGGGCAATGCCTGCAGCCACCCGCTGTCCCCCAGGGCCGTGGCCACACACTCACCCTGTGATAATATATCACCCAGCAGCCTTGGGAGGGCGCCCACTTGAGCCACTGAGGATTTCCCCCCCCTGGGGAGAGGCAGTGAAATACATTTCTCTCTCCCACTGGGAAGATTCCCATGGGAACTGCAGGTTCCCACTGCAGGAGCCCCTGGCGGAGGGGGAGATCAGGACTGCTGTGTTTGGGAACAAGCATTGTGATGGCACCCACAGCATGGTCCCCCTGCAGGCATGGGGACCCCGAGAAGGGACCTGCTGGGGATCCTCTGCATCACTAGAGGGGACCATCTGATGCTGATCCCGAGGTGTCTGCGGGACCCAGCTCACTGCGTCCCCCCTCCTGTCCCCCTGCCCAGGGACGGGGATTCCTCCTCTGAGATCATGCAGCTGGATTTCGAGATGGAGAACTTCACCAGCCAGTCGGTGACACGCCGCATCATGTGGCACATCAACTACCGGGGCCGCAATCCCCCGCCTGACCTGGAGAAGGTGGTGACGGAGCTGACAGTCATCCAGAGGGACATCCGGGCCATCGTGCCCCTGGCCATGGTGAGTGGGTTTGGAGTCGTGTCCCTGCCCTCTGCTTAGCTTATTTGGTTTGATGTTGGGGATGGGTTGGGTCCCCCTGAGGGATCTCCCACCAGCCCATCTGCCCCGTAGCACCTATACATCCATACATCCCACCCACACATGGGTCCTTCTGTGCCCCAGGGCTGGAGCAGGAGAGGGGCCAGCTGGGATCAGGGACAGGCTACCCTCTAATGTGACGGTCCCCTTTGTGCCCCGTACCCAGGACACAGAAATCATCAACACGGCCATCCTGACGGGGCGGACGGTGGCCATTCCTGTGAAGGTCATCGCCATTGAGCTGAGTGGTGTCATCGTGGATGTCTCGGCTATGGTTGAGTGCAAGTCCAACAATGAAGACATCATCAAGGTGGGTGCAGGGAGGGGGGTTTCATGGCCCTAGCGAGTGGCTGAGCTTCTCCCCAGGGGTCCTGACCCCAATAGCGGTGCAGGCTGGAGCTGGATGAGCTGGGGCTGGTGGCTGAGCTGATGTGCCACACAAGCCTACCCCATCCCAAGCATAATCCCCTCGGTGGCTTCAGTCCACGTGTGCCTCTCCCTGAGATCTGTCAGGAGAAGGACAAGACACTTTGTCACTGTCCCTGGAGAGGCCGTGGGATGCTCCAGTGCTGCGCAGGCTGGCACCAGGCAGCAGCAATAACTATGGGTTATCACGGCACTTAGTGCTGATAAGGTGAAATATTGTCACCTCGCAGTGTAAGCTGCACGTTTCCATCAGTGGCTTCACTTGTGCCTCTGGGTGACATTTATCTCCCGTTTGGATCAGATGCTGGGCTGAGCTTGGGCTGGGGGCTGGCCCCAGCGAGGCATGGGGGGACGAGCCGGGCAGTTGGGGACGATGGAGGGAAAAGGGGGGCTGAGGGAGAGGAGCAAGATGGGCTGCATGGGAGAGATGCTGATAAGGCGAATGCAAAAGGCTCGCTGTTGCAGCAGCAGCAATTGCCCACACATCTGCCCCGGCCGCCAAGGCAGCAGTCGATCCTCAAATCCAGCCATGATTTTTCCATCCCCAGACCCATTCATTCATATACATTTTCTATCACTGTATGTATCCATCTACCCACCTGCCCATATTATTCTATCACCATTTCCATCCATCCATCCATCCATCCACCCCTAGACATCATTATCTTCTCCCAAACACCACGCACCCCCCTCCCTGCACACACCCAGCCAGCCCACCCTCTCCATGTCCCCACCGCGTCGGGAAGAGGAAGGGAGCCACACGGGGGGTCTGGGCTCTACCCGGT